CTTACAACAGAAAACAATATCTAGGAGGTGATATCTTATTAATTCTATGCTTTTTTTCTTGTCATAAGTAGATCTTAAATTATTCATCCACATGAGCGATTCGGTGAATCGTCGCAATTCGCGGTTGGCATTCTATCCAATAACGTCTCGTTCGTGTCATCTCTCGTTTGCTCTGTCTACTTTGTGCAGTTTTGTTCACGCTTCGTGAGCGCGAATGTAACGGCGTACAAATCTCATATGATTTGCATACAATTTGAATCATAACGAAGCAGAATATGATCAAATCGATGCATCGTTACGACGATGGTAACGAACGGCATAGATTCTAACAAAGGGTTACGGTTCTCGAAATTTTCCACTGTCGTCTCTTGAGTTGACCCCCCCCCCCCGCCCCCCTTCTTCTCTTGGCTGTGTTGTCTGCGGCAGGGCCTGGTGCTGCAGAGGCTGGGGCGCGGCGGGCTGGCGGAGAAGGTGCTGCGCGACGCCGTGCGCGTCAACTCGACGGCGCACGAGGCTTGGAACAGCCTGGGCGAGGTGCTGCAGGCCCAGGGCAACAGCCAGGGCGCCACTGAGTGTCTGCTCGCCGCCCTGGAGCTTGAGGCCACGAGCCCCGCCGTGCCTTTCACGGTCATCCCGCGCAGCCTGTGAGAGGCTGTGTCGTCAAACCCTCCCCGCCCACAACAACTCGCCCTGCTGTCCCCCTGCTCCCCATCTTCCCCACTTCCAGGCTGCTGCCCGTGATATCCTTGAAAGCAGCTTTTTGCCTCCGCGCGTCCACGCTTCGTTATGGTTTTTTTCCGCTCGAGTAAAATAAAAACGTTGCACTGAAAGTGATCTTTTACGCCGGGAAGAAATACGAACGTAGAAGAAGACAGTCAACCTTCGACGGGACTTGGATTAGCAGAGCTTCGTCTTGACGAAGGAACGACAGACCCCGGTGACGTAAGGTTGACCAATTTGTGTTTCAATATTGTGACGTCAAAGTCATTTCCCTCGTGTGCCCCACTGAGTGCCCTTTCCGACGCACACCCTCAGTGGGAGACTGTGAGTCTTAAATAAACGCAGGTGAGGCGTTGTAGCGACCAAGCTCTTTGTTGTTTATAAAAATAGCTGATGGACCATAGAAGCGGTGTCTCGACAGGTGAGCTAACGTTCTGAATAAACGACACAAGTACTCGAATCGTGGGGAGGCTTGGCAGGAGAAGGCTTATGGTTGAGTATACAGTCCTGATCACTTTTAGCTATTGTGTATATATGTTTTTGCCCAGTAAACCTACTTACAGGTGGCAAGGACAGGTGTGTCTTGTCTTCGATTCCACCCTGGCCAGTGCCACCGTAACCTCCTGCTCGAGGCACCCAAAGGGGGCTACACACCAGTGTGGTTGTCTGTTGGTTGACGTTGACGTTGCCGGAGAGAGCCTCAGCCAGTATTTTTCCACACTAGCTCTCCCTAGTAGACGGCAGGAATTAGCACCACGAAATATGCTCTGAAGGTGGATCCACATTACCTGAGAGAGGACGCTGGAGAATGGTTTAGCCATTTCTCTGCCCTCGCCTTATCTTGAGGTACCGTCTTCTCTGTTGGGGCATTGATTATGCTGGAGTAGTTGACTGGTGAAGAGTTTTTTTTTATATTTGTTTCGTTTCTGGCTGCTGTGTATTCTAGGCTTTTGGGCCTGCGTTCAGCAACTGCGATAACAGAACAACTAAAGTAGTTCGTGCTTCGTAAAACGACTCACTTCAGTCATCCTCCAGCTCTTTGTTTTGGATCTCTTCTCAACTTCTTTCAAAGCTATTGGAGATGGGATCGTAGCGTTTCGGAGGCTTAGTTTCGGAAAACTCGCTTCGCTAAGTACCTCGAAGATGCTCGACGATAAACATGCCACTCACGTGCGCGCACACGATGGTGCGATGACAAAGGCGTCTTATTGAACCTGTTGCTTTTAGTCTGACGTACCCCTTCTAGGACCGGTGGTGCACTAATTGCCGCACAATGACGGTCGGAAGGGGGTGGCAGCGGGGGGGGGGGGGAATCGCCCAATGCCCCTGGAGGTGTTGGCTTTCTCTATCGGTGGCGTCTCGCTCCAGGGTGAGCTTCCTTCGCTTCTACTGTGACAGTGAAAAGTGAGCATGGTGGGGGGGGGGGGGGGGGTCACGCACGTGCCGTTTACGGACGCCGCCTGTGCCGGCACAAGCGAGCACTTGCTCTCTCCTCGCGCAATCGCCCGTCCCCAAGGGCAGCTCACCTTATACGAGCCCAGACCACCCCCCCCCCAACACCACTACTGCCCCCCCCAACCTCACCCCGACCCCGATCAGTTACACTCTGTCTACCACTTCAGTGTTCTCCAAGCTAAGGACTGCCTGCCAGTGTGACGTGTCCGGTTCACTTATTCCACCGTGTTAAAGCTGTTAGACGCTTGGACGTGCCGAGTCGCGTGCAAATTGAATGATTTAAAGTCTGTCATCCATCTGCTGTGGTGGTGGTGGTGGTGTTCTGTGGCGATTCGGCACAAGCGGGTTTTTTTATTTCCATAAAGCAGGGATCTGTGCGAGCGCTAAACCTTCCTGCGGTGTCGTGAATATCCGACATGAGCTTTTTGAAGATCTAATTGCTCATTGCCTGTTTTTGCTTTTCAGGATTTAATTGTATATTTGGAACTGCCGAAAGTGGGCAAATGCAACTTTAAAGTTTTGTGTTGAATTGTGTTAAATTAAAAGTATATGGAACCTGTATATAGTGGAGGCTAAAGAGATAGTCACACTGGGTTTTTGTACTTTCTGTAGTCTTTTATGTTCTATATTTGTGAAGTCTACAAAACATTTAAAATTATCCATCCTTGGAACAGGAAAGAATCCCTGTGTTTTAAATTGAAAACAAAAGTTAATGTATTTAATTTCCTGATTGCGATCAAAATAAACTTTAACCTAACAAATGTTACCGAAGACGTTCTCATTTATTCTGTGAATAGCAAGCGCTTCCTCGTGTGTTGTGTGCGTTGTACGTGTGGGATACGGCACAGACGTCACAAGTGGTGTTTATCGGAACATGTCGCTCTTCAAACTGGGAAAGCCAAAGCGTTAAGTCGAATGCGAAATAGACTAAGGGTACATACCTTGACGCTTACATCATTCATTTTTTACCCTCATTTTTGCACTACAAATTGATGCATATATTCACAATACAGTACGCAGTGTTTTGAATTTTGTTCTTTCTGTTGTTGGTTAATTGTGCATCATTGTGTTTTGCAATCATTAATAATTAGTTTTTAATAAGAAGGCCCTTTACCCAACAAACCTGGCTTGTAATCAGACATTGGTTTGCTAGTAGGTGGCGATAATTGTTGCGTAAAATCCTAAATTAGTCATTTGCAGGTTGGCAAATTTGGAGCGTGACGCCGGCACACAATGGTGATTACGTCGTGAGATCTTTCAACCTCCAACTGTGAAACATTCTTTGATAAATAATTCCGATTAATAATCATGAACTTAAAAATATGGAATCTACCGAATGTTGGTCGGGAAGGCTAATTTTGTATTCCAGAGCGTTTCGTAAGAAAGAAAAAAAACTTTATAATGGTCCAACTTCGCTCTGTAACATCAGCCATATTTTTAGACCACTTCACCGAGGCGGATGCTTTTCATTTAGTTCATATAGTATCTAAATATTTTAATGTTCATACAGAATTATAAGTACCCATAAATATATAATATTTTCCAAGCTAAAGTGGGGCTGGGTCTAAAGGGTGACGGCCGATGGTCGAGACTTTAACAGGATGGCAACCGAGGCAGCAAACATACCAGAAAATAAGTCCAATGAAATTGTCTCGTGTGCAGATGCAAGGTGGTGCATTCTTACATTGCATGACCGTGAGAGATGTGCAACAGCTGGGGCTTTTATCCAGCAGGGGAATGATCACGGGCTGATAATGTATATCCTTAGTTCTTTCGGTAAAGTCACGTTGAAGGGAAACAATAAAATAATGAAATATATAAAACAATCAAAAAATAAAAAATCTCACGACGTTTCGACCATAACACAAACGGTCGTCTTCAGGTGTGTCGGTTTGCATAAATTTATTTATTTTTAAACGGTGTATTTTTAAATAAATAATAAGATGCTCCGTTTGAAAATAAATAAATTTATGCAAACCGACACACCTGAATACGACCGTTTGTGTTATGGTGGAAACGTCGTGAGAATTTTTATTGTTTTATATATATTTTATTATTTTATTGTTTCCCTTCAACGTGACTTTACCGAAAGAACTAAGAATATGTGCTGATAATGATCAAGATGGTATATATATAAGATGTATTCTCTTTCAAAAGAAGCTTTTTGTCTTTGAATATTTCCTCTTTTTCATTGTTCAACTGAGCCACGCCGGTGGGTGCCAATTGACATCGCATTTAATGATAATTTCATTCGCCTCGTCGCTTCTTGGCCCCAACGCCCAGATCCCGGTGTCTTGTGAGGCCAGCAGAGTATTACGTTTTGGTTGTAGACGCGGCACGGCAAATTTCCAGTGGAAAACCACCCAGACCACGATGAGGGTCCCACGCTGGCTCAGTTCGGATGTGCCAGTGGAAAAGGGGTATTAATGTGTACACATCCATACATCCGGGTCAAGTCACATGGATCAACTCGGAGGTAAGTCGCATGCCGTGATGTCACTCGCATAGTTTAAATTCCCAGCAGCGTTGGTGTTTCGAAATAATTGGTGGAAACAAAAAAATATTTTAGCTTACAATAATCATGTGGGTCATGGGAGTTCCTGCACCATTGTTTCGCTCTTTGCCTGCATTCGAAATTTGTTGAAACAAACATTTGTTGAGCATCGCCTTCTAATCCCAGCACCAGGCCACAGCGGGGTAAGGAAGGGGAGTGGGAAGATGGAACCGGGTGGGGCTTGGCCCACAGCCTCATGGCTTAACAGAACATGGGGGGAGCGGACCCAGAACTTGGACCACGTTCCTGCTCCGAGACTATTACTGGGCCCGGCAGAGAACAGTCTCTGGTGCTCGTCGAAACGAGACGAAAGGGTTTCCGATCTCGGCCGCGTCGTGATGCAAGCCGAAGGTGGGCGTCATCGCGGCTGCGTTTTTTTTTCATGTGTGCGCCGCTGCATGCAAACGGATTGCGTCGGCGGATGCGTCTGTCGTGACCGATTTGTGCACTCGAGATGTTTCTTGTGATGGGATTGTCCCCTCCCCCTACCCGCGCGCCCGCGCGCCAATTCACATTTGAAGGCACCAATGGAAAAAAATGCAAAAAATCCGTGATGTTCTCGTGCTCAATTTAATTAGCTCCAATGCTAATGGGTGGCTTCACGCAGGCTGGATTTCAAATAAACGCATGCAGCCACCTCGTTGCTCCAACGCTGCAATTGGAAGTAATTAAACTGCAAGAGAAGGACGCTATTTGTGAGGATAGCACTACAACGGATTAAGGTTATTTTATCGGGGTTATTTACTTAACCGCTGTATGCCTTCATGCTGCAGAGAACCCAAATGGGGTGCAATTGCTGAGCACATGTGACACATGTGGCACGGCACACGTGTACACATGCTCATCACTTGCAGTGTCCGCAGCTCAGTGTCGTGCTGGGAATCGATGACCCCTTTGTCTCAGAGGTGACGGCCAAAACCTCAGAGCTACCCTACTGTCCCGTCAACCCAAATGATTAGCCAAGCACAGACATCGCAGTGACTACATTACTTCCCTGTCTGTCCAAAAAGATTGGGAAACTGATATATGTCTTAACTCTTGGTTGCTTTCAACGAGGTGTTATATCCCAATGAAAAGATGGCCCGAAAGGCACAACACTGGGTAAGCAATGAGTGAGCTAATCTGGGGGAAGGTGAATGATCGTACAGTTAGTGCGCAATTCCGCTGAGAGTGTTGGCATTGGATCGATGTTTTGAGTCCCACTCTGGGGCATTATTATAGAACGCCATTTGGCGTTAGGTGGTCGTTAATGAGCTCGTGACATCTTACGCAACAGTGAATTGTCGTGTGTCAAAGTCTCGGTCCGAATTCCAAATAACCCACAATTGTGATAACATTTATCACCGTTGGGTGTGTGACCGTTTGGGCCCTTTGACACTCTTACATGTACCTTGATCTCGTGCTTAGTGGTACAATATGAACGTCCTCGTCTGGTTAGAACCGGTTTCCACTGTAAATAAAGAAAGTTCGTACGTATGGGGAGCATACGTTCTTTTGATTAAAAAAATACATTTTGTAAATGAAAATTGTGTTGCACACAACCAGAACAAGCAAGACAGGCGTTGATGTGCCAGTTTCACAATCTCCATTGCGCCAGTGTAAATCCGGCATTCGTTATTGCATTACATGTCGCTAAGCTGGAAATATAAGCGTATTTCACATCCACAAATATCCGACAGTTGTAATAACAAGTGCTCCATTATAGAAATTCGCTACACTTTCTGAAAATTGACTCCATAGACATGCAGTGTTTTCCTGCATAAATAATGAAGGAAAATATTAAAGAATTGGCTTAAGCCTCTAAAACAACAATCTAGGGCAGTCCTTCACTTTCACACCTCCAGTGTCTCACCACCACAAACCTTCGAGTACCTTCGATGCACAGCCGCGTAATTAGCGTCCGTGAACGCACACATTTTCGCAAACTTGAGATAATTTCTCAAGATACTTTTGAGGTTATTCACATTCACGTTACCGCACTACTCTCATTATAATTATTTCTTTGAATTTTTTTGTCCGAACGTGGAACGGTCTCGTGAATTGGCGAGGAAGAGTGAGGTTTCCGTTCGCTACAACGGAACATTAATAATCGTAATGCTTTTAAATTTGTGTTTATGTAGCGTATGGAAAGATTGCAGTCGCATTTATACGTGATAAAAATCCAGATTGCACTGTGCTACATTTTTTTTTATTTTCTCAGTCGGATCCTCCTTTGGGATGTTAAGCCAATTTATTTTTCAGTACATTATTTGGTCAAACTGCATTGGCAATGGTGCAAAAGTAGAAAATTCAAGATGTTCACCAATAACGCTGCCTTAAAAGGAAAAATGCACAATAGGTGACCTTGTGTGCAATCACGCTTCCTCATAACCCAGAGAGGAAAAAAATAGATAGTGGATAAGAGACTGAACTTTACACCATGGGGCTAGATAACATTCAAATGTAAAACAAAATACCGGTGAATATTTGTTTCAATTAGCATATGAACAGTAGCCTACCAGTAGCTATCGAGTAACGGACGAACTCTTCAACGATCAGCAAGTATTACGAAATAAACGAATTTGTGTCAAAAGATTAGTTAGAGTACAATGTTGTTGGCCATTGCATTTTGGGTCGACCTGTTGTCCGTGGGGTTCGGTGGAAGTGTCATGAGCATAAGCCACTTGGCGTTGCATTCCTGGGTCCAACTACTATTTAAATCTACATTTATATAAAAAGGCGAACGATGTCTGCAACAACTCGGCTGGCTTCCGGTTCCTGGATCGTCTGCTTCAGCTTCGAAGACGATGTATATATTTGTATATATTTAATTTAATAGTGACATTATATTCTTATATTTTATATATATCTCTTCATTGATATCTTATTTGTGTTATATCCATATTCTATCTATATTCTGTCTATCTTTAGATAAATCTTCGATTGAAAAATATAAGTTTACAAAAAAAGTGTGATTCTTTATTTAAGATCTGTTGGATCGGCGTACGTTATGCCAGGTACAGCCAGTGAGATGAGAACATTTCATGAACCTTTTACGACACTTTTAAGAATAGAGTTCTTATTAATTACACAATGTTTAATTTGAGTGCCTTTTTAAAATGTAAAGTTTATTTTTAGCCTCCGCTGCCCAATTTTACTTAAACATCAGATGCGTCGCATAAACAAAGGTCCGTCCCAATGGGAGGTACGCAATATATGCGCCCACAAAGGGACGAGGTTTTGTCTAGCACTCAACAAACAATTAAACCATGTTTTAAGCGAAGGCGAGGCGTTCATTCAGTCCTACCGGCTGATCGGTATTCAGTTTGAATGTTGGAGTCCTTTGCAATGTGCGGGGCCACCAAAGACCCCCAAATTCGCCGCACCATCATTTGCTGGCTTTCTTGCAGATCTGCAGCCGGTTCGAGAGTTTCATGAATCTCCACGTGATCCACCAACCCTTGCCTGCGTGCGTGTGAGCCGTGTCTCCCTTAGAATAGCATGGGGGGGGGGGTAGGTTTTCACCTCAATGTATGGCCCTGAACCGCTATGAAAATGCTATATTAAATTTTGATTGAAAGCTTTCGTGACTGCAGGGATTCATATTCTTGGTTCTTTCGGTAAAGTCACGCAGAAGGGAAACAATAAAATAATAAAAATATAAAACAATAAAATTTTCACGTTTCGACTGCAACACAAGCAATCATCATCAAAATGATGCAGTCGAAACGTCGTGAGAATTTTATTGTTTTATATTTTTATTATTGTATTGTTTCCCTTCTGCGTGACTTTACCGAAAGAACCAAGAAAAATGCTACATTATTTTGCCAAACGTCGGCCTATCCTGTGCAAAACTATTCTCGGCTTTCCCGCAAATCCGTTTTTACCGTTCACTACGACAGATGGAGCTGTGAAATCGGCTCGTGCGTAGTCGCTCGGTGGATTGTTCCATTGTGGGACTTTGAGAAATCGTGACGGGTTGGGAAAGCTTTCGTCCAGCAGTGGATGGATCATGACTCAATGATGATGATGATGATAATGATGATGGACAATGAACTGAGCTGACCTTTACCTGAGAGGTCAGCTAAAGCCCTCGCTTTCCTCAACAGTGCGAGGCATTTTTTTTCCCAGCTCGAGAGGCAATGCCCCCGGTGATGCTCGTATACTGGCTGTAAGTCCGGCTTGCCGCTTTCGCCTAAGATACCGTGGACATATATTTATTCTTCTGCTGATGCCCTGGCTGTACAGCCCCGTCGAGCCACCCACTGTGATTATTCACCGCGGTCTGGCACCGGCGTGGTTTTTTTTTCTGCTCTGGAAACTGGGGGCAGTGAACAGGCCGGTGTGGAATTTTTTGTTGTTACGCTGCGGTTATTTTGTTTCATGCTTCTGTTGCAGTTTGGAATGTAGTGATTAAGCCCTTGCCTAAATGTACAGTGCAGTCCCGAGAGAGATTAACATTTAGAACTTTCAAAAAATAAATATCTTAAACATGTCAAAGCAGTGGATTGATTATGTATGTATGTTGAACTTCTTTCGCACCATATACTTGGTTCTTTCAGTAAAGTCACGTAGAAGGGAAATAATAAAATAATGATAAAAATAAAAAAAATTATCACGTTTCCATTGCAACACAATCAATCGTCATCAGGTGTGAAAACCACTGCAAGAACATTTAATGTTTATTTTTTATTATTATTTCCCTTCTACGTGACTTTACCGAAAAAACCAAGAATATGAATCCCTGCAGTCACGAAAGCTTTAAATCAAAAATATTTCGCACCGTACATAGCCAACCGTGCTAATCGAAGGTGACTCGTGATCATGACAAATTTTATCCACTAGCTCTTGACATAATAAAAATATGTTTAAAAGCTACCAAAATATAAATTATCCTGTAAATCGGTACGGCTTGGTTAGGCGTGGCATGTTTATCACGTAGCACAATATTTTGGTTCAACGATTGCATGTATGAAACATTCATTAAATTGTCGGTCACATTCCTTAAATGCACGGGCGTTCCGAGTAACAAGCCTCCGTTACCGGAACGTTTTGCGAACGCAGTAAATAAATGCATCAGGTGTGTTTGGCCATTGAAGTTGACGCACTGTTTAGCGCAAAAGATTGATCGTGGCCGATGGAAGCCCTCTGTTAAGAAAGATTCAGCGTCTCCATCGTGGATGGATGTTATACGTGCACAAGTGGCAGCAACAATGACTTGTGGTGCTTGGGGGGAAATGATGAGTCAACAGCATCCCACCTTCCTGCCGATCCCTTTCTCAGGGGAGGCTTGTATTGCTCTCAGACTATATTTAGCGTGTGCGCGTTGTGTTTATGAAATACTGTTTGCAGCTCGCTGCGTGCGGGTTTTG